AAAGGCAGAAAAGAGAAAGGGAGGGGGGAAAAGCAGATGAGAAGGAAGGGAGGCGGGGAAAGGAAGAAGGAAAGGAATGGAATGAATGAATACAGCTAAAAGCAAAAAAAAAGAAAGACCCTGATCCATTAGAGGTAGGAATTGGTGTGATCACTAGTCATATGACTTTGAGAACATCCAGTTCTTCCCTAGTGAGAAACCTTGAAAAGGTATCTGCTGATAACCACTGAGTAACTAGGAAAAGACAACTATATCAAGATGGCCTGGGCCACCAGTAGAAGGTAATAGAGCCCAACACAAGATAAGCACAATTTTTTAAAAAATTATTCTTCAAATTGTGCATTCCTAGTCTAAGCACTAGGCTTGGTACAAAGGAGGACACAGATAAATTGATCTTATGCTAGCCGGGTCTCAATAACTGAGGAGAACATAATACCTACACTAGTGCTATGTGGCCAAACTAGCTATCTAGGAAAAACAGGAAGTCTTCCTAACTTGCAGCATTTGCCAATTTCTGCGATGTAAACGTTTGCACCATAACTGATTGGATTTTACCAATAATTTCTCCATAAGTATTCAGCTCACAAAATCTCCAAGTATTTAGAGATTGGCTCTAGGGAGCCCCTCCCGACATTCAAGGAAGTGCCATTCCCTTATTCTTGTCATACTTGACATCTTTTTAATCACTTTCTTCTTATTATTAATATCTTTATCATGTGAAGGACAAGGAAAATAGAGATAAGAGGGAAGCAGCTGATATTCCTGACAGTGGTTCTAGCAAAAGAGACTAGGGAGGAAGTTGAAAATAATTGACTAGATTTGTATTGGTTTCAGTTAACCCACTCTCTCAATCCCTTAGTACTACAGGATAATTGAAAACAGATAACCTAATCAAATGTGCAAAGTACAAGCACACTTTCTGACCAAATACAGGATTAATGGTCATTACTCCGAAGGATATAGAAAGAAGCTATGCTCAAGAACCCAAAAAAGAGTCAAGTTCACCAAGATGGCAGAAGGGATGTTAAACTGGGAAATCAAACAACTTCTCTGGGTAGATGCAACATGGAAAATATTTTCCTGAATGTTTAAGGTCAGTACATCATTCTGGACTGCAACAAAACAAGAAAAGGGATACCAAACCAACAGAAAGGAAAGACCATTTAGCAAAAGAAAAAGAAAAATTTATCTTAAAACTGCTAGAAACTGGGACAATCTGGGAAATTTTATTAAGTTTTATGATGGTTTAACTAGCAAAAAAAAAAAAAAAAAATCTCCACCATAGCAAAGGGCTCCATGGGTGGTATTTATGCTTAGAAGGCGGCAGCTGGAGATATTTCCTTTGCTCTCAGAGACTCTGGCTTGACTCTATCTTCTTTCTGCATCTAATGGTGGCAATGCCACAGGAGTACAGTAATCCATCAAAAAATGTGCCCTCCTCTAGATCCGAGCTGGGGAAGGGTTAGGAGGGTTCGTCCCACTTTGTTGCATGAGTTTAGCTGACCTACTCTCCAACCATTTGCGATGACAGGGCTTGGAGGCTACCTACTCGAGCAACAGCTGTCATTATTTGTTAGACAACGTGAAATGACAAACTCAAGCCACTTCAAGGAGAAATGGGAAAAAAATTAAAAATGTGCAAAGCTGTGAATACAAGGAAAGCATGCACGTGTCGAAGTGAAACAGCCAGTGCAGTGTCATTTCTATGTATAGACAAGCAAAAAATGAAGGAATGGAGAGTCATGTTCCTTTCAAACAAAGCACAACAGTGAAAAAAGATTCTGATACTTAAAATAAAAAAATAAAAGCACGCAAAGTGTGCCATTTGGGGCTGGCTACTTGTTTTGAGACCTGAGGGGAACCAAAGGGGGTTAGCGGGGGACAGATTTAATCTTAAGGTCTTTAAATCAGTCAATTACCCACCTCAGGTAGAATGTAATTACCCTCTTTCACTGGTGCACAATACGACCATCATGGCTGTGTCAGATGAGCTAAGAGCAACTCATTTAAAAATGAGAAAATCAGGCATGAACTAACTATGCTGTTATGCCCGAGAGTCAGCAAAGGCAAGACCAGGTTCCACTGGTGAGGACATAAGGGTGGGCAGTCACCAGGGTATCCACAGCTGTGTGTGAGTCACATCTKGCTGAGGCAGATATGAGATCGTCATACAGCGTGGAAGGGAGATTTGGGATTTTAAAACAGCAAACAATTGGAAACCTTGAGAAATCAAAATCAATGCAAGACTAATGTGGATTAAGGCATCATGAAACCTAGAAGAGAGGCTGATTCTTCAAAGTGGGGCAAAAGGAGCCAAGGACTCCAAGTATTCCATCATGGTATTCCAATGGCGTGGTTTCTGAATGTCAGAGGGAGAAAAATATGATGTGAAGAGAACTGGAGCCAAAAAGAGTATTGACAATTTTAACAGAGGGTGGAATTGTGCCGTATTTACAAACACTAAACGTAAGAGGCAAAGATCTGTTTGAATACCGACTCTGTGGTTACTGGCTGGGTTGTGTGTGTGTGTGTACAAGTGTGCAAGCCCTTCTCTTAAGGTCTCTGGGTCTGAAAGTCTTCTTTGGTAAAATAAAGGACTTAACTACAATCTGAATAGTGGTTTAAAGCTTTAAAATTCTAGGAAATTAAAACTTGGGAGAGGAGAATACAGGCTCTTAGGAAATGAAAGGCCTAGAGCAACATTCTTTTGCTGGAAAGGGGAGATAGTGACTTCAACCCAGCTGTTAGACCCATAGCCACTCAGCCCCCACCTGCCCTGGCACCTAAACCCACAACCCAGAAGGACATGGTTTGGTCTCAGAACATTCCATCCCTTGGATTATTTGATGACGTCTCTGTCTCCTACCATCCTGACAAGGGATAGCTTTCTAAAAGTAGAGAAAATCCTTTCCAAGAAAACAAACACTCAAAAGAACCGTTCCATTCTGTTACCTGTTTGGATTACATAATGACTATGAGGTTGAAACTTTCMTACTGACACACCAAAAAGAACTCTGGGCTCATGGAAGCCAAACTGTCTTTTTTCTCCACCAAAGTTCTGAAAACATCTTCATGTTCCTAAAAAGCCATTTGCCAGTGCCCACTGGAATGGCAACAAAAAACTGCCTCATCTCTGCTTGGAACAGAAACTCAGGTCAGAAGTTTTAACTCTGTGGGGATACAAATCCTATATATGATATTCTTCAACAAAAATAATAATAGTAACAATTATCTTTACCAATGCCACACTGTCCTGTATACAAAGAGAATACTGAATATTTTTGTAGGCTGGGTTAAGGATAATTTAGACAAGTTTACATTTTACGTTTTTTTTTTTTTTTGTCCCACTGCATATAAAATGGGGCTATTGATAACTGGTAACTGGCATCAGAGCAGCCATCAAGTAAAAAGGTAAACCCCGGGCTGGGGATGTGGCTTAAGCAGTAGCGCGCTCGCCTGGCATGCGTGCGGCCGGGGGTTCGATCCTCAGCACCACATACAAACAAAGATGTTGTGTCCGCTGAGAACTGAAAAATAAATATTAAAAAAAAAAAAATTTAAATAAAAATAAAAAATAAATAAAAAGGTAAACCCCTTCCCCATCCACCCCCATGCCAGTTATTATGAGCTTTCCCTCCAGGAGAGTTCAGGGGAAAAAAAACACCTACTCATGTTGACTAGAATCCCAAAGAGCCCACGCTAATTAAGGTATCCACACTCTTCCAACGGAGGCAGGAGTAAAAAGGCCAGGTTCCTTTTATAGCCTGCTAACTTGTTCATCTGGATCGGTGCAGAAATATTTACCTCCTACAATCACTGTACTTTGCTCATTCAATCCTTGTGAAGATGAAAGGAGATAATGCACGTAAAGTGCCAAGAACCGGGTACACAAGGAACTTAATAAACAATGAGCCTAGAAATTGTAAAAACAAAACAAAGATTGTCTCTTGACACTTATCAGCTTACTCGAAATAGGAAGGATTGAAGCATAAGTTAATCAGTTCCAAGCATACTCTAGAGGAATCTAGGTTGCCCTCTAACTTTAAGTCACTTGCCAGCAATAATGCAGAATTCTCACAACTCCACAGTACTCAGGCCCCACTACTGCCTTCTCACTCTTAGTAACTGAGAAGTGGCAGAGTTTTAAACAATGAGAACAGAATCGCCAAGAAAGACCTTTAAAGAAATTCCTCAAAGCCCTTTGGCACTGATCATGTGGAAGTTTTGCCAGAAGTCAAATATCCAACACTAGAAAAACTTTGCCAGAGTGTATGTGTGCTGGGGGAGGGAGAGTGGATGTGAAAAAAAAAAGCACAGAATCTAAAGATCCGAATGAAAACGTTACATCCCATAATAGACCAGATCCTAAAAGTCCAGCTCGGCTCTTTAGATATGTATAATATGTTTTCCTTCCAGGCATAAAACTGTTTTGTGATTTTAAAGATCATCATAAAAATAAGGGAAGATATGCAATAAGCAAGTTCTACTATAATTTGTAACTGAATTTTCTGTTCACTCGGGGTACACAGGTGACATACCAGGTTGACTTTTCTAATGCCCACACCCTAGTATGTAACTATGCAGGCAACATTTAAAAGATGGCAAGTGAATAATATCTGCACTCCAGAAAAGATGATACCTTTGCAACAGTCTTGAGACTGTGTAGCAAAAACAAAGTTTTGATTTTTATTTAGTGTTAGTCTACTCAATTTGTAAAAGACCGGGCCATAAGACAATTTTGGTAGCATTTGAACCAGGTTTTGGAAAAAGGGCATCAGTACGGCTGCTTAGCAATTCGAAACCATGCTTTCCATAATACAAAGGCGGATGAAGCCCTTAATTTCAGAGAAGGGGAAGTTACATTCTACCCCTTGCTGAGTACTTGGCTTATTTCACTTGATAAAAAGTTTTTATGGCAACCCCTGTTAATTACCACAAAAGTTATACGTTCTCTACAACTCAAAGGAAAAAGYGCAACTGGCAAAAGTCAGGTTTTTCTTTATTTAATACATTCTAATCAAATAGTAACAGCAGTAAATAAACACTTTGAAAAACAGGCAGGTATCCCCCTATATATGGAAGAAAATTAAGTCAAGGTATTCTACACAGTAGAAGGGAGACAACTGCTGATGTCCGTGGTTAGACAATTCAAGGACTGGGAAATTTCTAAAGCCATTTCCAAAAAAATCAATGGCAACAGTTTGGGGCACAGCTACTTCAAAGGGTAAAATGTCTATATCTACACTGGTTTTTATTAACAGAGATTGAGTTGCACCTGTAGAGCATGACATTCTTGTCTTTAGCCTTAAAGGAAAAGAGAAAGTCTTTTCCATTTGCACCAGTTTGAAATATTTCTGAAATAAGGCTCCCCTGAAATGGGTTACTACAGTACTCATTCACAGGAGAGTTCATACCTGTAGTAAAAAGACAAATACAGGATCTCATGGTCACTTTTTTTTTTTTTTGGTTGATTTGGTTAATTGCATAAAATGAGGGATAAATACTCACAAGCATGATGTGTTCGACAAAACTACGTACATCAGAATGCAACATATAAAATGTCCTTAAAGATACTGATCATCAGGCGTATAAACGCAAGGTTAAGCCTGCATCAGCTTGGTTCCTTTAGCTTCTTCAGTACTCCACTCCCTCTTTGTTACTGGGGCTTGGAGCTTGGAACTTGGAACTTGGACCTTGGACCTAAGGCAAAGGAACTTCAGAAAGACAAGGCATTCTGATAAAATGCTCCCTCAGCCTTTACTTGGGGCATTTTATTTCTTAGTTAAAAGGATCAACTGATCTTGRTCAGCCTTAGGAAAGGAAGCATCACTCAGGTGAAAAKRTCTAGGGGAATTTTAAATACCTAGSTACCTCTTTACGCATTTAAATTAGGTTGACTTCAGCTGTTTTTAGAATTCTGTGCAGTTATCCAGTCGCTCAAGTTTTGGTGTCGTCTTACATAGCTGCATTTGGAGATACTCGATATGATGATGTTTAGAAAAACAGAAACACTTACACCTGGAATTTATATTCTTCCAAGTAATCTTTTAGTCTTGTTGGTAAAGGCAGTCCCCAGACGGTACCGGTACATTTGTTAATGGTGAGTCGACAGAGATGCTGAAGAGATGGTGCAGATGTATAGAGYGGTTTGGTCAGATAGAGGTGAACAGTGCCATTCCGGGGGGCTTCTGGGCCCGACCGCTTATCCTTGCACATCTGAACATAGTAGTCAATCAGATGAACCACACTGTCAAATTGCTTAAGCTTGGACTTGACACATATGATAGAATCCAATCTGAATTTCCCATCTTGGTACTCAATTCGCAGATTAGTTGGTCCAGCTGACGTTTTAACAGATATTGTTAGTAGGTAGTCTGAATGCGAACTATCTCTAATCAAGAAAGTTCCTTCTGGCGCCTCTTTTAATTTCTCTTTGGCTTCATTAACAGTCATACTTCCCCAGTACCATCCTGGGGTTTTTGTTCAAAAAGAAAAAGAAAAGAGGGTAAAATAGTTATTATAAGAATTTTTAGAATAGGGGACGTACTTGCCAGTAATTTTTCTAGCTCTAAAAAAAAAAAAAAAAAAAATATGTGTGAGTGGAAGTTTACCAGGGGCTACCACAAATACCTTTGGTAGGAATTTAATGAAAATGTGAGTCCGTTTTATTTTATGAACACAAACTGTGAGCCAGTGTTCTTTCTTTTCAAAATAACTTTCTGTAGTTCTCCTTTAAACTATGTTAAGATTTTCTTCTAATAAGCCAAAAAAACATTTGCAGTATGACTCACTGGCTGACAGAGCATGATGAGTTGATTACTGTTTCAATGAAACAAAGATTAGAAATAAATTAGATATTAGCTATAAAAGCCATATTTTTAAAAAGTGGAAAACCCAACTCCAGTAATTCCAATAGACTAAAATCAGAAGCAAGTTTTTTGAATGGTTGGTGCCACCCCTATACTCTCCCCCAAAGAACCTCCTAAATGGCTGTGCCCCTTGTTCAAAGCCCTCAAAAGCACTCCTATTTACTTATTTTAAAAGTACAGCTATCCTGCAATAGCTTTTGCTTGCTGCTCTGATTACAACTATCTCATCAGTCATTGAGAAATGGGAAGTCCCAATTGATAATACTTCAGGTTTATAATCTTCTCTAAACTCTTGTGGACTTTGCCCTGATTCAAATTCAGTCACAACCGTTGGTCTCCTCGGCATTCTCCATTTGATCTGCTTCGGCCATCTCCCCGGCCCATCCCGTTTTCAAAAATGACTCAAAGACATTTTGCATAAGAAGTTTGAACAAAGTGCTTCCCCCGCCCCCGTCAAAAAATATTATTATTATTTTTTAAACCAGGATACTTGTAATCGGCGGGTCTCTCCGGCCAAGGGAAAGCCCATGACCCGTAGGGAAAGACCGGAACACGAAGGGAGGGAATTTTTCCCTCTGTCCCCCGCCCCTGGCCTATTGCTATCCAAAACTTAAACTGTGCCTCAAACGTAAGATTTTAGGATCCAGATTTTAAAAGCCTGAATAACTTGCACATATTTTTTAAAAATGTCTTGTAGATGCTGGAGAAACGACAGTAAGCCACGCTGCACGGGACTGCCCTTAAAACAAGCCATTCCCTGGTGCGCCGCGCCTGGAGGCCAAGCTCCCGGGCAACTGCCCTCACCGCAGCTTGTCAGTCCCGAACTTGGTCGCCAAAATCCTGGGCTGCAGTGGCGGCCCCGCCCGGGAGCCAGCCGCAACTGGGGCTGCAAGAGCGCAGCAACCACTCGCCTAGCACCCTGAGGAAAGGGAGGCACMGGGCGCTTTCTCTGGCCTGGGTTCGAGCCTGCGCGCCCACTCCTGAGCTGCTGCGGAAAATAGTGTAGGTTTCAGAGCTCGAAGAGGCTATTTCCAAGAAACCCTGCTCGCGCTCTGCCCTTCCCCAAGCCTTTAGGCGCTCCAGAACCAGTCTCCTTTCACATTTCCAAGGACCCGAAGCCACGAGGGCGGGCATCCCTCTCCGAGGTCCCCAATCCTGGAGCAGGGACTGGAAGCGAGAAACATGTTTCCAACCCATTCTTTGCTTCCCACCTCGTCCGCACTTCCCGGCAGCGCCTCCCGCCCGCGCAGCCCGCAGCAGCAAATTTGGGGAGGCGCCCCCTCCCGCCCTCGTAGTGGCCAGTCCGCTCCCTACCTGTTTGACCCAGCTCGCGCAGGGCCTTCGCCAGGCGTGCTGCCTCTGGGGCTGGTTCCTCGGCTGACCCATAGGTCCCCCACTGGCTCTGCGTCCCATCCGCGCCATTCCGGGAGGGCTCGAGGCACCGCAGGGTCATGGAAGAAGGGTCAGCACGGCAAAGACAGGTGGCCGCCTGAGCTGGAGTCACAGAGGGGCTCGCGTCCTTCCTGGAAGTCAGAGGGAACTCCAAAACGCGTCCCTGCGGGGTGTCCGAAATGGTGGCGGAGGGGGAGGGGTTGGGGAGCTGCTGGTTCTTTCTCCCCAAGTCCCAGAGGAGGGATGGTAAAATCTCCCGCAGACGCGGTCACCCACAGATCGCCTGTGAAGAGAAAGTGGGGCGGGAGTTGGGTCAGTCTGAACTGGACCCCAGTGGCTGGGGTGGGGGTGGGGAAACAGACGTGGAAAATCCCGGGGACTCCGCCGCCTCTAAGCTCCTGCACCGTTTAACCCCAAGCATCCAGTTACCGCCCTGGCCCAGCTCTGGAGAAAAGATGGATAGAGAGAGCAAGGATCCAAGACCGAGTTGGCTAAGGAAAAGGGGGGTGGGGAGACGGGATAAGGATGAACGAGGAGTCTTCCCGCCCAGGGCTGTTTGCTGAAATCACAAATTGGCAGTCTAAGAAAAGCAAAGAGTCACCTGCGGGACGACTGGGGACAGGCTCTTGTCAAGGACAAGTAGAAATTTTTAAAAAGGAAAGAGCAGGATCGTTCCCCAAAATGGCATTTCCATCTTACACCTCGCGCAGTCTGAGGGTCCCTGGGAGGAAGCACCCAGCAAAAGCTGGTTCCACGCCCTAAAGCGCCATGGGGCTCCCCGGGCCCGAGACGCCAACCGGGGGTGTGGAGGTGCACTAGYGGCCACATCCCCGCCTGGAGGCTGCCTCGCTCCCTTCCACCAGCTCCCCAGTAGGTGCTCGGGACAGGAGTGAGGGACAGCCCGTGGCGGTCGCTCCGGGACAGAGACGGCGGCGGCTGCTGCTGTAGCCGCCCCGAGCGCTGTCGAGGAATCGGCCGGAGCGCGCAGCCCSGGCAGGAGCTCCGAGCGCGGCAGCCACAGAGCCCGCAACAGYGAGCGCGGCGGGACTTGCTAACAACCAACGCCGAGCCCTTACCTCGGCCACGGCTGCCGCCGCCGCCTCCGCACCAGGCAGCCTCCCCAGCGGACATGGGGCGGGGGAGCCGGGAGGGGCCCGGGAGAGGAGGGGTGTCCGCCTGAGTTTCCCCTGTTGACGTTTAATTTGGGAACGAGATGCCTGGGGATGAGACCGACCCTAAGCTTTGCGGAGGCGGCTGGACTTCTCTGTGCAGAGGGCAGACAAAAATCCTAGGGATCATCACCTCGATCCCCGACCCCACTCCCCAGGCTTCGACACCCTCTGCCCCCGTGCAGCTACCGACTTTCCCTTCAGCAGCGACCAAGGAACGGGGAAGGAGAAAGGGRGGGAGGAAGGAGCAAGGGCGGAGGCAGGCTGGAGGGGAGGAGCGGGCGATCAGGTTATTAGGAGGATTAGACATTTGAATAGCAGTTTAGGGAGGGGAAAACAAAATAAAATAAAACTCTGGAGACTCCCCGACACCGGGAAGGTACCGGAGAGAGCAGGCAGTAGCCATCGGCTGCAGGAGCCGCTGCTCGAACTCTCTACGAGCGCCCTAAACTACGGAAGCCAACGCCGCCGGTCGCTCCCCGCGCACGCGGCCGCGCCCGGCCTCCCGCCCCAGCCACTCTCCGCGGGGCGGAGCTCCCCACACCGGTACCTGTTGCGAGCGCCCGTGCTTCGTACTCCGAGGATCCTGAGGCTGTGCGCCCCGGGCCCCGGCGCGTACTGTCCGCGGCCCGCGCAGCGCTGGTGGCTGCGGGCGAAGAGGCTCATGCTTCAAGAGAAACTCAAGGCCCACGAGCCGCGGCAGCGGCGAGACTTGGCAAGAGTTAAACGTCTGTCCCCAGAGCAGTGTGTGCGCGCGACTTCCCAGTCCGACGCGCCTCCCTACCTCCCCCCCTCCCTCCCCCTTCCGCGCTCCGCTCGAGCCCCGCCCGGCGGCTGCGGAGGCCGCTTTCCAGGAACTTTCCAGGAATCCGGCTCACGTGACCACAGCCCCCGCTACCGCTTTAAAGAGGCTCGGCGCTAATGCGCAGGCTTCACGAGAGAATCGCTGAGAGCGCGCCGGTGGGGACAGCGGCGGTACGGATGCCTGAGACTCCGCCCTCCAGTGACCCCACACCTCGGGGTCCTTGGGGGGCAAGCGGGAGAAGTTCCCGGCCATCGCCAACCCAGTTTTGGCGGCCGGAGCATGCCCCCACCCGCGTCAGCTAGGCACCCTGATCCAGCGAATAGTAGTCGTTCTCGCCCCTCTGCGGGGAGGGGGTTCCTCTTTTCCACCCCCTTGGCACCTCCTCGACTTTACCCTCCAAGCCGCGCTTTGTTGGGGGGGGCACGCGGCGGGGGGGGGGCGGGGAGCTGGAGAGGATGGGTGGGTTCCTCGGAAACTGGCCACTCGCCCTCTACGACATATTGATTAGGTGGGGGCAGGCTACAGCCCACCCCTGGGGACCGAAGGGATCTAGCTGGAGGCAGCCCCCCAACCCCACACCCCAAGTCCTAGAAGGCTGCCAACAGGCAGAGTAAGGCGCCTCCTTAAGGCGCGCGGGCTGCTCTCAGTCCCCACCCACTGGCTCTTAGGCTCGCAGTCTCCCGCACCAACCCTACAGGGCTCCTCCCTTCCTCCTCGGCTCTTCTCCGTCGCCTCTTTCCGGAGGCCCCCTGGCCCTCCCGGCTCACCTGCCCTGGCTGCTGAAGAGGCTCCCTTACCTGCGCTCAGGGAAAGTGCCGGGTGACGGGCCTTCTGTGCCCAACTATTGATGGTTGCTGTGATTTTTTGAAAGGCGGGTGCCCGGGGACGAGAATTTAGGAAGTATCCCGGCACTACCTCCCCACTCGGGACCCTTACTTCCCATCCTGTTGGAGACCACCTGGCCTTAATGGAACTCATTTCCCTGACTGCACCCCCACCTCCGAAATATGACCTACTTCTTAAAAACCATTAACACTCACGGCAAAAAACGGATCCAAATTTTCGATAACCATTTTTTCTTTGAAATACTATTCTATTGCATCACTGYTCAAAAGCTTGAAAGGTCAATGGCCATTTTTAGTTGAAGCGGTGGCTATGGGGAAGTTGGGCGAGGAAGGCAGAGATGGTGTGGGGGAGGCGCAGCTTGCAAACCTTGCCGGGTGCCCCCCCTGCCGGCTCTGAGAGGAAGAGTGAACCAGCTCCCAGCCTTTGGATAGGGAGTCAGGGACCAATGTTTTTCTCAATAATTTTTCTGCGTTTTAGAAAACTCTATGCACATGATATGCACGTGAATTCTGGGAGAGGGGCATTTTTTAGCTAACCAACGGGTTTGTAAACAATGGGGTGGTATGCATGGAGCCATGTTTTGTTTTTAAGATTTGGTGGAGAAGGTGAAGTTAATTGAGCCCTACTTAAAACCCTCTACGAAGTAGGTGAATAATCCTACACAAATCATTTTCCCTCTCTGTACCAAAATAAACTTTCAGAATCACTGCATCTACTAGGATTCACCTAATTCTAAAGTATTTTAGATGATTTCTCCTTCCTTGGTACAGGATCCCCAAGGAAGAATGTGCTTACATATTTGTAGTGTTAAGTTAAAAGCTAGTCCAAAATTTTTTACAAAGATAAAACATTTAATTCCATTTAATTGTCATTTGTAATGAATCTTCCAGCTGTGGGAACAGCAAGTTTTGTAGCAAAATGGGATTTTTAAAAATTTTTGCTTCTAAAATGTTTCTCAGCAATGCCCAGCATTTTATCGGCCTTTCCAGACCTCTAGAAATACATATGGGAGCCGCGTAGGAAAATGTTTATGGGATCATGCAAGTGAAAAAAAGTAGAACATGAAATTATACCTTTGTATGATTACAACTCTATGCAATTGTGTACACATGTGGGCAAAACCGAAGGGAATGTGGAGAAATGAAAGCAGCTGTTTTTAGGGTGGCAGGGTCTGGATGAATTTTTACATTTGACTTTCTTTAATATGCTTACAGTTTTGTTTGTTTGGGGTACCAGGGATTGAACTCAGGGGCACCTAATCACTGAGCCACATCCCCAGCCGTATTTTGTATTTTATTTAGAGACAGGGTCTCATCACTGAGTTGCTTAGTGCCTCACTTTTGCTGAGGCTGGCTTTGAACTCAAAATCCTCTTGCTTCAGCCTCCTGAGCCACAGGGATTGCAGGTGTGAGCCACCACACCTGACTGCTTCCATTATTTTTGATAGTCATCCTTTTTCCAAAATCCTATGTGAGACAATATCTTCAGTTACTCTAATGGAGTGGAGTGGAATGGAGTTTGTGGGACTTAGAACTCATCTCAAAGGACCCCTCTCTTTTTTTAGTTATAGATGGACACAATTCCTTTATTTTATTTATTTATTTTTTACGTGGCGCTGAGGATCAAATCCAGTGCCTCACACATACTAGGTGACTGCTCTACCACTGAGCCACAACCCCAGCCCTTCAAAGGACCTTTCTCTTGAGCCTCAAGTTTGCCCTTCAGTATCACCTTTCAGATGTCTAATAGGCATCTCTAATTTCATAGAGGTCCTTTTCCGACATTTTCTTACATCTCTAATTTCAAAGTTGAGACCTCATGACTCCCTCAAAAAAGTAAATAAATAAATAAAAACAAAGACAAGCCATTCTTCCTACACTTTTCCCATTTCTGAAAACATCAGTTTCACTCTTCAGTTGTTCAGGTCAAAAGCCTTAGAGTCATCATTGACTACTCTTTCTCACACATCCCACATCCCACCCACTGGCCAATCCTTCCACTCTTATTTCACAATAAACCCAGAACTGAAGTGCTTGCCACGTGTCCACAGCATACCAGTTCAAGGCACCCATTAACCTCTGCTCAGGTAACTGCAACAGTCTCTTGAAAAGCCTCCCTATCCCTCCAAAGTCTCTTTCTAACAGAGTAGTTACAGTGAGTCTGTTTAAACTAGGTCATTTCACATCCCTTTCCTGCTCCAACCCAAATAGCTGCATCACATCTGAAGGGGACCAGGGAAGCCAATAAGCATTGTATAGCTTCTTGTCACTGTGATAAAATGCCTGAGATAAACAACCGGTTAAGAGGAAAGATAGATTTTGACTCACAATTTGAGAGGTTTCAGCCTATGATCACTTTGAGACTGTGACAAGGCAGGACCACATGACAAAGCAAAGCTGCTCACCTCACAGTGATTCCATTTGGTCTTAGATTTTCAGGAACATATCTTTCCTGTTGGGTGGGGCGTGTCCACAGTTGCAGAAATAGGCTGCCACTCTACATGAGGAGGAAAGGAAGGGCAGTTGTCACAAAGCTGAAGAGTGTTTTCCATTGCCTGCATTAAAGACTAGCCAAGGCTTGAAACCCTCCTTGGTGTGCCAAACCAGAACCAGACACATTTGGTTTTGCCATGTCAGATGGATACTGGAATTGGCAAGGGCTCCATACTGAACTCCTGCTGAGTTTCACAGAAGGTATTTTGTTTTGGAGGGAGTGAACAGCATGAGGTGAGGGTGCAACAGCATGATCTCTGACAACTATATCTGATGCACTTGTGAACAGAAGATAATACTTTTAAGCATCCACCACCCCTTCCTCTTAGAATTTGCCATCTCCCTACCATTACCACACACATAGAACCCTGACGACTACCTGTGATTCTGAAACCCATTCTTCTGGCATGCATGTGACCTAGGCTAGCTCATAGGAATGCTTTGTGCCCTCAGATATGAGACTTTATTCAGTATCACAAACCTGCATGGGCAACTGACTTTCTTTTTCAGGATCTTATGTAAATGCTGCAAGAGAAGTAGTTTTATCCCTCTGAAAAGACAAGCAGTAATAGCCATGTAAGTCAACTTTTTACCATTTGGTGGGAACCTGTCAGAGAATGAAGGCAACAGAAAACAAAGCAGAGGCATGAGTGATGGGGAAAGATTCCCGTGCACTTGAATCCAGTGTGACTGATGCTGTACTCCCCTTGAACTTCATACAGGAGCCAATGAATTTATTTTTTCCTGACCTGGTTTGATTTGGGTTTCTATAACTTGTAACCTAAGGCCTTCTCACGGGTACAGTGGATTGGTATGGAAGTATTTAGGGCAAGTATTGGAATGCTGAAGTGAAAGAGGAAAAAAAGAGCTTCCTTCTACTTTAACAAACCTCCTACTTTTCACCTCGGCTTCTCAGTGCCAGCTCCTTTTTACATTTTCCTACGTGTTCCCTCYCCATAATGGAGGACATTTACTAGTGGGCAAAAGAAGAGTGAGAAGAGCAGATACCATTAGCTTTAGTGCTCTGAGTCAGGAATGAGGATAAGGAAAAGCAAGGCAGATGGCTTTCCCCCAGACTTCTGGAACCTGAAAACATGGTAGATGGTACGCCCATGGTCTTTCCACTAATGGAAGTGGAAGGAAGTCATGTTCTAGTACAGTGGTTATCCATGCTATAGAAGTCACAGATTTCTCAAAAATTCTGGTAAAATCTAGAGACCCCATTTTTCCTTTCTCTTAACCATAAGACCTGTCCCATTCCCTCTGGGCAGTAGTAGTAGTAGCTGTCCCATTTAGAAGGCACATGCCCTACCCTTTTCCCCAGTCCTCCCCATGGCCTCCCAACACTGAGCATGACTTGCTATTTGTCACCCTTGCATTCTTTTTCTTATGATTGAAAAATATTTCTCTGGATCCAAGTATCTACCAGAAGTGGGCAAATGAAAGATAGACCCCAAAGTCTATAAGAGAGTATTTCTCTACCGAAGTGAAGAATATTCCTCTGTGTTTAGTAGGCTGGGTTCTCACACCTGACTTATTTTATTCTTCTATTTTCCTAACTGGGCTTATATATATTTATGTGCCTAAAATTTTTTT